TTCCTTACGAATGTTCACTTGGTGAAACATTTCACGTATGTCACCACATATACCGTATTTTCGCTGTCTGAACTTCCATAAAATTGATGTGAGAGACTGTAATAAATCTGGTCCGGACAGCAGGTTATCATTCAAACTCTCCCCATTGCTTTTGGCGGAGGCATCGAAAACCAACCGAATTTTTCCAGGTTTGTTCACATTTTCGGTGGCGAAATGTGGCATATACCAAGTCCTCGTCGATTCGATCTTTGCTTCTTCTGGTGGTACTTTTTCAGCATATCCTTTTTCTATGTAGCTTTCGATTTTCTCACAATACTGCGAGGCAAACCCTTCATTTTTCCTGAACTTTCTTTCTAAACATCTGAGCCTTTGAAGAGCGATGATCTTACTCTCTGGTTTGATGTCTTCGCATTTCCAGAGGAGTCCTATCTCAAATCGATTACCTACTCTCTTGGCTGTTTGATTCATGAGTTCCATAGCTCTTGCATCTTCCTTGCTCAATATATGAGGAACGATAGCTACACCAAATGCTTCAGTCGAAAAAGAATTCTTCATCATTTCTTCCAGACGAACTTCACTCTCACAAATATGATGGATTTGAGCATGCATCCTACGCTGACCTGGAGAAACACCATGGAGAGACCAACCTAGTTTGCACTTCGTAGCAACCGGAAGATGTTCGGGTCCATTACGTATCTGTCGGGGTAGTATCAAATTGATATTGTCCTGGCCAATCAATATCATTGGTCGTTCATTAGCGTAGTCATCGATTGGAAGATCTTTCAAATAATCATAACTCTTCCAATCCTCCATGTTGATGGTTTGTTCTGGAAGAGACAATCCTTTCACGGTTCGAACATTCTTCAGATTATATTTCTTAGATTTTCCTTTAACGCCAGAAATACAAAAACTCAATTTTTCAGATGTGTCCATACTGGAAGTTATTCCGTTTGTCCATTGGATACAGAGTGGCTCATTTTCTCCCTGCAACCCCAGCTCTCTAGCAAGACTCTCTTCAACCAATGTAACAGTTGACGCCTCATCACACAATGCCAGGACGTTCAGCTTACCGTTTGTTCCAAAAATAGATACTGGAACCATTCTGAGCAGAATCTTCGCGTTGTCGTGTCTGATGGAATGCACTGTTTCATTCCGATTGGTGAAATTCGACGTTGATGGTTGTGATTCTTGATCCTTAGTGACTGGAGGAGTTTTGTGTAGTAGTGGGTGATGAAAGAACTTGCATCCATCTGTTCCACATTCTTGACGTTTCTTACATCTGTATTTCTGATGTCCCTTCTTGAGGCATGAAAAACACAATTTTTTGTCTGTTATTGTTTTCCACCTGTTGTCCACGTCGTCAGCTTCCATTTTGGGACAGGTAGCTTCCATGTGGTTTTTCTCACAATAGCAGCAGATATCTTTTCTTAACTCCCTCGTAGTCAGTATCCTTTCACTCTTCGGTTGCCAACTTATTGGATTTTTGGGATAAGATTTATTTTCTGAAGTACTTGGATTACTGATGTAGCAAGCCGCGTTCGCAATTTCCGCCAGCCAAGTCGAAAAATCTTCCAGAGATGCTCTTCCCTCCTTTTGTACAAGAAGTTCGCCCCATCTGAGTTTTATAATGTCTGGTAATTTTCCTACCAAATCTTTCAGTAGCTGAGGGTTGTGGAGGTGATCGAAAGATACCAAAGCTTTCATGGTAGCTACAAGATTTCTGACTTCATGTGACAAATTTATCAGTTTGTCAGCATTCGTATCACGGAAATGTGGAATGGCTTTGACTCTTGAAATCATCATCTCGATAACTTGTTCCGATCTGCCAAAGCGCATTTTCAAGGTGTCCATGATCAAGTCGACATTACTGGATAAAAGCAGCATACCAGCTACAGCAGTTTTTGCTTCCCCTTTCAAACTTTTTTGTAATTTAATCAATATTTCGTCATCACTATATTGACACATCTTCACAATTTGTTTATATCTTTGAAGAAATAATGGCCAATTCTCAGGATTTCCATCAAAGACTGGGAAATCTTTGTCCACTATATGTCTTGCCAATAACTTATCATTTCCAGCAGGGGACACCGAATTCAGGACATTCGAAAGTGTTTCGCACAGTAATTGAATGTCTGTGGTAGCTGTATCTTTCTTCATTGATTGTGGATTCACTATTTCTTCTACATTTTCTTCGATTGGATGTTTACCAACTTCAATATCATTCACCCATCGAGCAACAGATGTAACAGAACAGGCATGATTTCGTTGATTTTCCCTACTGGAACACTCGCTATCTTCAATTTCAACTGCTTCTATCTCAGCTTCTCTCAATTGATGTTCTAGTTCAAGAATCTTCATTTTATTTTCAATTTCATTTCGTTGCTTTTCTAATTCTTGCTTTTCTAGTTCCGTCTGAATGGCGAGTCGTTTCTTGGATAAACACAAAGACGCTTGTGATCTCCTAGACTTGCTTGTTGCTTTGCTTCTCGTCGATAGTATATCAGAACGCCCAGTATCACTACTTTTTATTGAGTTGTCTTTTCTGGTGTTCATGTCACTGTCATTGATATTTTCTATAGCAACTGGTGGATTCATAGTTGGACTTGTTAAATTCTGCAATACCTGGATAGATCCATTCTTCTGAGGAGGAGCACCATTGGGTTCTATCATGGATGAAGTGTTCACATCACGTCCTTCTCCAAACCCTTTGGGCCACTGAAAATCACAGGACAATCTTGCATTGACTCCTGCATTTCCTCTCATAGATCTTCCTTCTTTTCTCGAATCTTTTCCGTCCATAGCTGCTCCAAGTTGTTCTCGAAGGACCACAATGTTACAGATAATCAAATATTTCAGATTCAAACAGAAAGTCTTTATTCTTTTTTCAAAATTGTGACTGACTCTGCCACATTGACAATAATAATCAAAATTCCCATATACAATGTGTACATAAACATTGATATTAATACGCCGTCACACATACTATCAGTAGGTTAATCGAGGAGGTGGTTCATTCATTATTCCAAATTTTTTGGCATTTTCTCTCCTCGTTTCTATAAAATAAAAATATGAATATTATTTCAATATACGTGTAGTAAGGACAAATCAGATGATTTGCCCCAAAATGTCACTGCGTTCAAAGAATTTTCCTATCAGAGAGCCTAAAAGAAAAAGAAAAATTCACTAGCTTGTCATCAGTGACAATTTGTATTGAAAAAAGTTTGGAGAAGAGAAATAAAGGTATATAGAAAAAATATCAAATTTTCACTTATCTTTGGATGTTTCGGGACCGATTCTGCTCCCGTTTTCGACATGAGAAGAGATTATTTCAATAGCGAAGTCGTATAATAATATATATATATAATAATATGTCTTGAAGCTTTTCAGTTTTGCATTCTTGCATTCTTCTGAACGGAGACAATAGCATTGCTTCTTGTTCAGTTGATATAGACAGAACATGGTATTCACTTCTAAAATCTGAACATGAAAATGGTAAATTCAAGATTAATTAATGAAAACATCCTGTAACTCATTTGATTGCCAACGTCACCATTTGTCATTGAAAACTGAAAAGCTTCAAGACATAATACTTATACGACTTCGCTATTGAAATAATCTCTTCTCATGTTGAAAACGGGAGCAGAATCGGTCCCGAAATGTCCAAAGATAAGTGAAAATTTGATATTTTTTCTATATACCTTTATTTCTCTTCTCCAAACTTTTTTTTTTTTCGCTTGGAGCGCACGAAAGGGAATCCCTATAATGTTCAAAGAACATCGTGCGTTCCTAGGGAGGATAGGGACAGGAGGTAGGTATTGGAATTTTTTTTGAACTTTTGGAGATTATATATGTTGTTGGGAATACTTCCACAGGCAATGAATTCCAGATCCTAGCCGTTCTATGGATGAAGGAGTCATGATAAAGTGCTGTTCGACATCTTTCAAGGTTGACAACGAAAGGATGTGCTGACTGGGCTTGTCTAGTTCGTCTGGTTGGTATTGCTAGTGAAGGGATGATAGCAGAGATTTCCGAAGAACATTTCCCGTGGAAGTATCGATAGAAAAGTGAAAGGTCGCCGACCTTTCTACGGTGTTCCAATGATGTCAAAGAGTGAGTGAGTGTGGCGTCACCCACCAGGCGAATGGCTCTTCTCTGGATCTCTGTTTTCAATACAAGTTGTCACTGACAAGCTAGTGCATTTTTCTTTTTCTTTTAGGCTCTCTGATAGGGAAATGGGCTTATATCACAAAAAAAAATTATTTCATAATTCCATAGAACTCGCCAAAACTAGCTCACCACCGCAAACCGTTTCTTGCTGTGAGCTCCCTACGTTTTATAAAAAAATATTGAAATCCCCGATTTTACGGACCTCTGAAAACGAGGCGATGATGTGACGTCAAAACCCTAATACTGAAACAAGACTATTCCAGAGAAATATGAATGATACATGATTTCTGACAGAGGGAATTAGCGCGAGATCACAGTTGAAAGAATTAATATATCAGTTGCCTCAGTCTCCGTCGGGCGTTTGGTATTTTCTTTCGACCATGGCGGGATGAGGTTTCTACGTCATAAGAGGGTCCGTTTCCAGAAGGTACTATTATTTATGTCCAAAAATAAAACATTCCAGTTAATTTTTCGATCGAATTATGTCGTCAATCATTATTTATGTATAAAAGGATCATTATAAACATGGTTTGAGTTAAAAGTTCTACTAAGGTGTACAAGCCCATTCTTTAAACGCAGTGACGCATCTGATTTGTCCTTACTACACGTATATTGAAATAATATTCATATTTTTATTTTGAAGAAACGAGGAGAGAAAATCCCAAAAAATTTTGATTGAATATTCATCTTTCATTTTTCAGATCGACTGCCTTACCAGTGCCAATTTGCAGACTGTAGTTTCCTTCATGCTAACAGCTGTCCTGAGCATAAACTGATAACAGCCTGTTGCTGTATCAGCCGGATATATTGAATGGAGAGTAAAACGAATCATTTTATAAAACGTATTTATTTATTTAATTGTATTCAATAAATGTAATAATTGTTACATTGACTTGTTGGTAATTTCGTTCAAACCTACATTTTTAATGTGAATCTAAATTCTGCATTGGTTAGTCCACGCAAATAAAAAAATCACAAAGCACCACCGTTCTATTATGAAACCATTCCGTTAAGACAGTGCAAAATACGTGGACTTTTTGCTATATTTGGAAAGACTTTGACCATTAAACGTTCACAGGGTATTCCAAAGGTTGATGCAAAATCTTATGGAGATGAGGGGGAAGCTTAAGTCTGCTTTGAGTAATAAATATTACATACCTCTGTATATTCGCTTATAATGAGTTTTTTGAAAAATACCATTTTTCACATTTCATAACAAAACGATGTAACACGACTTCTTGGTCTAATATATGTATTTACGATGCTTTTTCCTAGGCAAAAATGTATATCTGTAGTAAAAACGAACTATATTTTTTTCAATCAACAGAAATAATACACACATAAGTTGAAAAAAAAATAGATTTTTCAAAAAAACTCGAGGTTATCGAATAACTGGAAGAGACTAATAGTTATTTATGCAACAAGTGCAAAAAGCGAATGTTTATTGCACGAGTTGCATACAACATTTTTTCTACGTTCATGCAAAAAGCAAAAAATGATTTATTGAGATGCGCGGCACTAAGTACAATTCTGTTAATTGTCAGAATTAATTTTTGACTGACGTTTCTATAACCACAGTTGCAATATAAAAAATGTTTGTCATGATGACAGCACGTTGAAGTAGAATGACAGATGAGTGCAATAAAAACTTTATTGCACTAAGTGCAATAAAGAACTTCTTTTTCCACTAAATATAGTTCAATAAAGTTCTGCTTTTTGCATGAATGTAGAAAAACAAAATTATGTTTGGCTAGAAAAAATCCATCGACTTTTGGAACATCCTGTAGTTAGTTTCTATATGGAGTATATGACTAACTAAAGTGGTTTCACAACAATAGTTCTGGAATATTGCAGCTAGTACATAATAAAAAAAATCAGTCTTAAATATTTGAGAAAAAATAAATTAAATAATAAATATGGCACGTAAATCTACACAAGCTTCAGTTCAAAAAATAAACAATTCCTAATTTATTGTGATCACTCTTATTTACAATTCCATTCTAGTTTTTCGAGTTATACTCATCATCATTCTTACTGTGCTATTCAAATAAATCTGAATTTCAACTTTAGTTGACCATACTAACAAAACTCTTTAACGAGAAACAGAAGTTGAAATATCGAAAAAAATAGCAATCTTCTACTTAAACAAAAATGTTCATTTGCAATTTGATGGAAAAGTATGGAAGATTGTTTCCTTCAGCTGTCTAATTTTATATATAGACAACTATGAAACTATCGACTAAATTGAAGAAGGCGTACTAACTTATTTATCATATTCAGCGAAAGCAAGGAAAAAACTCCGTACCAGATCGAGGCTTCCATTCAAAGTTTTTTCCTTGGTTGATCTGTCACACATATTGTGTAGATCATCATATCGCTCACTAGGTGCAATAATGGCACATCTCGAAAAAGGGCCATTTCCAGATAATTGTACCCAAAATACTCGCTTTTTGTATTTTACCTACTTACAATACTGGCACATCGTTATCTCACACGGTGCCGCTAGATGGCACTAGTGTCACTATTGAATTTCGCGCGTTTTTTAACAGTTACGCAGACAACACCGGCACAAATAGTTTAGTTCGTTAGTGACCGTCGCACAGTGAACATCGTTAATAGTGCAATAGTGGCATATTTCACATAGTACGGTAAGGTATTTTAAATATTTTAATTTTTGTAAAACAATAGTGGCACATCATTGGATCAACCTAATTTGTGCCAGTATTGCATATTTATTTGTTGATATTTTTGAAATGTGCCATTATTGTCTGTTTAAAGTTCTGAATTAAAGTCGTTCATTTGCGTGACATCTCATAATGTGACACTGTTGTTTTGTAAATATTGTTTGGTGTTTTTGAATTATGCCTATTATTGATACAGTTTATTTTAAGGATAATTTTAAAGTATTGCCGGAAATGAGCAAACCTTATTTCTTTGCTTTATATTTTTAAGTTCTTAAAGATTATTCCTTTCACGATTGTATCTTTGTATGTATCTTGAATTTTTTTTCAACTGAAAAATAATATTTTTTGTTTCAGTTCACCAAATTGAAGTTAATTGCAATATGAATCCTGAAAATTCCAATACAAGAGGTAAAAAAATTCTAGGAATGTTAGGAATAAGGAAAGACACTGCAAGCGGAAAAATCGCATCTGATGCGTCTGTGATACACGATGTTATAGAAAGAATTATCAGCAATGTAGAAGCAAACATCCAAAAAGGGCAGTTGAAAGAAGTTGATCGTGATTTTTGTGTAGAAATGGAAGTCGATAGAGCAGAAGAAGAAATAGATAGAGAAAATGAGGAAGAAACTAATTCGGAGTCTGAGCCTTTCTCAGACGACTCAATTATCGATCCTAATTACGAAGCTGAATCAACCACAACAACAGACAATGAACAAGAAGCACCATCACAAGATGAAGAGGAAGTAATTGTAACAAAAAAGAAAACCACAAAAAGAAAGAAGGACCCTCAGGAGTGGAAAAGAAATAAAACAAAATTACTAAGAAATAGCGGACAGGCCTACGTCACACTTAAGAAACGTCATATCGTAGAACCTAGACAAATGAAACCTCCTTGTGGTGATAATTGTAAACTTAAGTGTTCAGTTAAATTCTCTGACGAGGAAAGAACAGCGATATTTCGTAAATATTGGGACCTCGCCGATATTGTCAAACAGCGAACATTCATTGTGACACTGATGCACGAAATACTTCGAGATGACAATAATTCCATTTCACGTAATGGTAGAAACAAACGAACCAACAATAACATTTTTTATCTTTTCAAAGATAATCAAAAATTAAGGGTTTGTAAGGTGTTTTTTATTTCAACTTTGGGAATTACCACTCGCTGTATTCGAAGCGTGATATCTAAGAGAAAAGAAGGACATTTTGAAGATAAAAGGGGTAGGCATGGAAATCAAAAGCAAATACCGGACTTAAAGGATGATATCCGTAATCACATTTCGTCAATTCCTAAGATTGATAGCCACTATACCAGAGCTCATAGTGAAAAACAGTATATTGAAGGCGGTAAGACCTTAACCGATCTATACCGAGACTACAAAAATCTATGTGAGCAGGCCGGCAAATCCGTCGCAAGTTTAACAACATACAGGGATATTTTCTATTATGAATTCAACTTGGCTTTTTTTGTCCCCAAAAAAGACCAATGCCAAAAGTGTGTTTCCTATGAAAATGTGGATGTTGACGAGAAACAGAGAATGGAAGAAGACTTTTTATTACACCAAAGAGAAAAGACGCTAAGCAGAAAGGAAAAAGAAGCAGATAAAAAAAAATGTAGTGAAAATTACAGGGTTAGTTGTTTTGATTTGCAGGCTACATTGCCAACACCAAAGGGCGACGTTTCATCATTCTATTACAAATCGAAACTCTCGACTTACAATTTTACTGTGTGTGGTCTTACTCAGAAAGGACAAGGCCCTGTTACGTGTTTTATGTGGCACGAAGGACAAGGCAAAAGAGGAGCCAATGAAATTGGCTCCTGCTTGATAAAATATTTACAACAACAGAGTGAAACTTATGATGGTAATGACTTAGATATCGTATTTTATTCTGATAATTGCTCAGGCCAGCAAAAAAATAAATTTGTTTTAGCAGCTTACTTTTATTCGGTAGCTAAGTATAACATTAAGTCAATAACGCATAAATATTTGGTGACCGGCCACACACAAAACGAAGGTGATAACGTTCACTCAGTGATAGAAAAAAACATTAAGAGGGCACTAAAGTCTGGTCCAATTTATACACCAGACCATTACATGATGTTGGTCAAAGGTGCAAAGAAGACGGGTACTCCTTACAAAGTTGAAGAGATGAGCTTTGATGATTTTTTTGACTTAAAAAAATTAACTACGCAAACTTCTTTTAATTATTATAGGGACAGTTCTGGCGATATTGTTAAAATGAATGATGCCTGTGTTTTTAGAGTAGAGAAAAATTCTCCAGATATTTTCTTCTACAAAACTTCGTTTAGTCAAACTGACTACAAAAGTGTAAGCATTAGACAAAGAAATACGCGAACAACTGCAGCCTTCGACTCTTTCGAAACTGCTAATCTGGAATGTGCGTACCAAGATGTTATACCAATTCCAAAAAAAAAATTTGACGACCTGATGGATTTGCTAAAAAGTAATGCCATTAAAAAATGTCACAGTCACTTTTATAATAGCCTGAAATATGCCAAAGACTAAGGATGAGTTTTTATTTAGTTTCAGAGTAGTACCTAAAGGCGAGTACCGACATAGTAGAGAGTGACTAATACCTAAATTCAAAGTCGATGCCATGCGATACTCAACTGAAATTACTTACCGACTTTGAATTGAAGTATTAGTCCTTCTCTCCTATTTTGAAACCAGCCCGTAGTTTTCGTTCATTTTTAAATTGAGGCTTTTTTAGGATATTTTTCTTGAGTTCAGTTAAAAATTAGGTTAGTAATTTCAAGTTCCTAGCTCGTAAATTATAAAATAAACTGTTATAGTTGCCAAGCCATATTTTTGTACTTGTTTTTTGTAATAAAAAAGTGTTCTAACTTTAAACCGCAATTTTATTGAGAATTTTTCATTGAGATATTCCACTTCATTTATGATAATTTTGTGTGTAACAAGGTCAATAACGGCACAATTTTTTTTTTTTTTTCAAAAAAAGGACATTTTTGTAAAAAATAGCAATAGTATAACTTGATAACGAATTTTAAAAACATGTCAATATAAAATTTCTAATTAGATGAGAGAGTTGATATTGAACATTCAAATCTTTCAATTTCTTTCTACAAATTGATCGTTTTCTCGAAACTTATATTTTTTTGATATGCCACTGTTGCACCCAGTGAGCGATATAAGCTTTTAGGCAGGTGTTTAAAGGAAATTTGATCGGGATTTCACCCTGTAGATCCGTATGAAATTTCATTCCGATTCTAATCCCGACCATGCTTGATCTTGGGAAAAGGCAAAAGCTGTGATTGTGCAATGTTTTGCGATTATTATAATACGAGATGGTCCAAATTTAACCAGCAATGACTTCGGAACTGAAAAATACGAACCACATGGACTGCTGAATATAGTTCACAAGATCAATGTTTCGAAATATTGAGGTTCAATCAGCTGGAATTTGAACGAGTCAGCTAAAATGCAGAGCTCAATCTGCAGCTTTTTTCTCTTCACAATTCACTGTTTTAATCTTCTGAAGATGCTAACATAGTTAGCGAAACACGTGTCGAGGCGTATAAGAAACGTGTTTGGTTAGTGGTAAAACAGAGTAGTATATTTTTGTGCCAAAGGTGTCAGTCTTCGATATATGTATAATAAATATGTATTGCGACTTTAATGTTGCATAATTTTTGCTTTTTTCACATTTAATGATATTTGTAAGAAGATATAGAATTCAGAGATTTTGAAAATCGAAAATGAAGGAATGAAAAAAAAATAATAGATTGAAATGAGATGAAATAGATGATGTCAGAAGTTCACAGCACGATTCTGAGAAACTTGGCTTGGTTAAACAATTATTTCCCAATTTTCTATCAATCACGGTTGAAATTTGGTCCATCTTGAAAATATATGGGGTATATCTGATTTACTATCGATTGAAATCGTTTTCCTAAGAGGGACAAAATGCTTCTGTGCTATCTACAAAAATGTTGCGTTTTTTTGTCAATGGACTATTTTCATTTTGGAGTCGAAGTAAGAATCACTAATCAGTATTTTAGCATTCATAATAAATCTGAAGCTAATATAATAATTCGCGTTTAGGTCGAAAATTTGCCAGAAGGAAGGATTACCGAAGAACCCCATTAATATACTATATCTATACTACCTACACAGTTCTCCATCTAGAGAATCTTTCCAATTGAAAGCTGAATTACATTCGAACTGCATGCAGAAAGAGCTCATCAAGTAGTATGACTTGAACAAAAACAAATAAAAAGTGTTATTGAACCAAAACGAAACACACTCCGTCGACTCTTTTGAGCATTGAAAAGCGGTTGCCTGAGGAAAAAGGAGGTAGGTAGCATTGATTAGTTCAACCAGAGATCACTTTTGTAAACTTTGGTTCAAGTGCAAGAAGCCTTTAATTATGGGAACGTTTGAGATCAGTTCGAGATCTCGTTACTCGCTGGCAATGGGAGAATTTAGTCAGGTTGCCAACCTTGCTTATTTCTGAAAGACCATCAATTTCTCCGAAAAGTTTTGCATTCCTTGAAAACAATATGCAGTTGCATATGCACATGGAAATCAACCCTATGGAATCGGAATCAGAAAATGGAGACACAGCACAGTGAAAGAAATCCTATCCTACAGGGTAGTCAATATCTTAAGTTTTGTCGAATTCTCGAAGTTATTCAAATGCGTTCGGTCAACTGGTCTAATTTAAATGCATCTGAAAAACTTTCGTTGCCTACTATATTTCGCAGTTCTGTCCTCATTATTGTCCTACATCAATACAACTTGTAGTTGCGTCGGGTTGTTTGGGTGTAGGTACATAGTTTAAAGAATTCGGATAACTCTGGCAACAGTGGCAACCCTGGTCGCTCACGTCGTCATTCCACTCGACCCGCCACCTATTGTGAGAGAAGGTATTTGAGATGTAAACATATGTGAGTGTGTGCTCAAAGCTGGATGTATCTGTGAATAATTGATCTACCTAGTGGAAAAAATTTAACATATCATGTGCTTTGCTTTTGAGTAAGGATTTAATTTTTCCAAATTCCTGGAGGTGAAATATTGAAACACAACCTCACTTTTTATATTTGTTGACAAATGATTAAGGCGGATTCATGCAACATTCATTATAATTACATTTTCACTACATTAAAATTACATTTTCACTAGCCGCGGGCTACCCGTTCATGCAACGCATGCTCATAATGAACTAATTATTCGAGGTTATGTGATCTGCTTGGATTTTACAAATGTTTACAGGTTATTTGAGAATATGGATTTATTTTAAATATAATATCTGAGGTGAATCACAAATAGTTTTGTGGAAAAAATGATCATTCAATCATAGATATTCAATGATCTAATCTTGCAAATCATTCGTTTTCACTAGAACTATAATGTAATTATAATGAAAAGTTAGAAGTTGGTCAACTTCTTAGTGCACTAATGTGATGAAAATGTAATGAAAATGTGTTAATCTGTTGCATGAATGCATTCTATGACATAGGAGTTCTCAACATTCTTAATTTATAATGTAATGAAAATGTGATCATAATGACTGCATGAATCGGCCTTGAAACAGTTTCTCACAATTATTTTGGCATACGAATCGTGTTTTTCGGCTATTCATTAATTCGCGCATGCCATCACATTATGCTGTTGTACAATGCACAATAAATGCAGCGAGAGACGAAGGAATCCGGATAGTAGATTATGATTTCAAATTAAGTACTAACTATACTCACATATAGTTTTCATTTTGAAATTTGGTAATTTCTCCGATTTCTCATCGGAATTCCTTCTGCAATAGGAGCTAATAGAAATACTCGTGAAGTATTTAAAAGAATGCAAGAAGATTGGATTCATGCAATCGTTAATACGATCCAGTGAATCTAATACAATCAAACGGGGAATGGTCTGACATGCTGACGAAATATGATCGTGTGTGTTGTAGACATTTTCAATCCACTAGCAGAAGTGGCAGAAGGAATTTCAATATCAGAAAAATCATATTCCTTCGGCTCTCGCTGCATTTTTTGTGCATTGTACAAGAGCATAATGAGAGGGCATGCTTGAATTAATGAATAGCGCAGAAAACACGATTTGAAAGCCAAAATATTGTGAAAAATTATTTCGATCCCTTGATTCCTCTATAAACAAATAAAAAGTAAGGTTGTGTTTCAATGTCTTACAAGAAAGTGATGTTGTGTTTCAATATTTTACCTCCAGGGTCGGTCATCGTGCACGTGACCTATACTCTACTGAGGAATTCAAATTCGAAAAAATATCACAATGCCCACTAAACTTTCGATAAAATGCATGGAAACTGAAATGTAAACAAACATTCAATGAACCTTCTAATAGTTACTTGAATAACCGCAAGGCGTATCGCTTATTTTTAATTGCCTTATGTTCTAACAAATCACCAAAACAAAGACCAACAACAGGCTGTGCTGACGCTTATGAAAACTGCGCAGGTGCGTCAGCCAATTGAAGTGCTCGCTTCGCTTGTTGGTCGTAAGACTTCCAATTGTTGTTTACAGGTCAGTGGGGTAAGGTTGGCAACCAGACTAGAGTTCCTAAATGTACTTGAAACTGCTATTATGACGTTTTTTGTAAATAAGAGTACGGACACTATGACAAGCACTGTCAGACATAACCACAAAAATTACAGGTCAGTGGGGTAAGGTTGGCAACCAGACTAACGGCACCCAGAGTTTCTAAATGTACTTGAAACTGCTGTTTTGACGTTTTTTGTATATTGAAGTACGGACAAGGTGACAATCTTTGACAATCAGACATAACCACAAATAAATTGATAGAAAAAGCGGGAACTGACAGTACACATGACATAAATTTCGAAGGTTTGACAAATTGAGAGAATTAGGAGAAAGATGCAAGTTTGTGCAGTTTCCAACTGTGAGAACACGGGAAATCAATTCACTCTATTTGAATTTCCATAGGATAACGTAATTCTACAGAAATGGAAACAGAATATGATGCGGCCGGCATGGAATATAGGTTCAGGCCACAAAATTTGCGAGGTTTTCAAATACATACAAGAGACTTATTTCATAGAAATAGTATATGTATTTCCTTGGTATATATGTACATACCAACTTGATATCGCAACAGTGATAAACATGATGTGAATACTCGGTCGAGGAACGAATTCTATATTCAACTAAGCAGAACAAATATTTTGAGTAATACACCAAATATCCTAGGTCCTAGAATATTCAATAACTTACCTGAATATTTGAAAAACGCAAAAAAGTATCTTCTTTCAGAAAATGCTTGAAATCATTTCTCATAGAAAAGTGTTTCTACTCGCTTAACGAATATTTTCATAAATGACCATGTTTCTCTCTTTTATATTATGTAATCTGTCATTTATCTAGTTTTAGATTCATATACTTGTAACAACCTGACTATTCCTATACTTTTTTAGAAAGTCTAAAGGAAAATAAAGATATTCATTTATTTATATCGACCTTCATTGAGGTCCTTCAGCCTTATCATTCAATATTTCGAGAAGAAATGATTTTCTAATCAATTTATCGTACCCTTTTTACCCACTCGAAGAGACGCTATGCACTCTCATACGAAAATCAAAGACAGAGAAAGATAGATGGATGTACTCTTCCCAGGACTTGTGGAGGAAGGAAGGAAGGATGCAAGGAACCTTTATCTAAGCGAAAAAAATATTCTTGTCCTTGTGTGGCTAAACATATGATATGCTTCAAAATCGTTTGTGGTTATGTTTGATTGCCACAGCTTGTCTAGTGTCCGTCCGTACTCTAATATTCCAAAAACGTCAAAACAGCACTGCTTGTCTAGTGTCCGTCCGTACTCTAGTATTCCAAAAACGTCAAAACAGCAGTGTCAAGTACATTTAGGATCTCTAACCGCACCTACCCGACGAAAAACCGGCCTAAGTCCCGACCGATTCCTTGCTCTGCCTGCAACTGGGCAAAGGTTTCGACAGGCCCAGCCTGACCACCCCCGGTGCGGTACCCTTGAGCGCCTGCACCGCCTGATCCAAAGTGGCGTTCCTGATCCCCTTGCCGTTCACGCTCACCAACCTACGAAAGGCTCACATTACGTTTATTTTTTAGATGACACCATATACGTATTAATAAACAATACGGATCATAACGGGTGCCAGGATGAAACAAAAAATATGAAACAAATGAATATCCATAAGGATTTGGTGGCATGATACGTAGTCATCAAAGACATGCGTTTCGGTGGACAATGACGTTTACTAGCCTTTCAATCAAAGCAGTATGTGTCTGATCGTATCTCACTTTTCCTTATGGATAGTCATTTGTCTTCAAAAATCGGCTTCATGTTTCGCTATGGAAACAGATAGAGATTATCCGTATTGATTATTAATACGTATATGGATGACACATACAGGTTCTGATACAAAAAATATCTCCAATCATTGGAGCTTTTGCGAAGATATCCTATACTTGATAACACAATCATAAACATATTACCCAGTCGTATTACCTACATTATAAACGTTTGGGGATCTTGTTCAAAAAATTATTTCAGTAAAATATCTGCACTTTAAAAGAAATCTCTGAAAGTATTGTATCGCCTCTCATTTGATATCCCAACAAATGATCTGAATGCGATAACAGAAAAATTTTCACCAGAATTATTGTCTGAATTATTTTTGTCTAAATTGACAATTGTAACTGCCTATTTAGACACTTGTAACTGTCTATTTATACAGTTATACCTGTCTAATTACATACAAATCAATAGTCTGCACAAGGCCACACAAGCCTGCAATTAAAAACCTAGGGATTCACAATTGCGTATAATGTTTACGTTACATTCATATTTTTCACATACACATACAAACATGTCTAACTAGACATGAAATGTGTAATTGTCTATTCAGACAGTTGAACTTGTTTAATACACATCAATAAACCAATAAACTGCACAAGGCTGCAAGCAGTAACATGGGACTTAGAAATAATAATTATTATTCAGTCAAGCCATTCTCTCACCAACATGTGAATTTTGATTTGGCCACAAATCTATCAATATCAAATATTTTTTTATGGAATTTGGTATACAATCATTTGAGGGGGTTTAGAATCCAATGGTGAGTTTCTGTAAAAATATCGCTTATATAATTACATGAATTTTAACCTCTAAATATGTATGGAGGTCTTGGTTTTCGTAGAAAAAATATGTTTCACCCTAAAGTAAAGTTTTTCAAGCTCCACAATTCGAAAGAAAGTTCGTCGAAGTCGGTAAAGTAATACAAATTTTATTGAGGTACCCCGCTTTCAAGTGGGTCACACTAGACAGATACAATTGTCTATTTAGACAGCTCCAAATTAAATTTGGGCAGTTCCAACTGTATATTTGGACAGTTACAACTCTCCATTTTCATACAGTTACAACTTTCTATCTGAAGGTGTAGTTTTGATCTGGTTCCAGTCGTTTCCAAAGCGTCATCATCGCTGATGCAAACTCTAAGCATTTAGCTCTCAAACGTGGAGTACCGCAAGGCTCTGTACTGGGTACACTGTTATTTTCATTATATGTGAAAGACTTAACACATGTCGACATTCATGGACAATTCACAGTATTTGCTGATAACACTAACATACTTTGTCATGGCATGGATAAGACATTTTGAAAAGACATCATCAAGAGGACCTGAGCAAAGTTAAAAAATAGCACGACGCCATCTTTTGATGCAACTGAGACATGTTTAATCAACTTCAAGCATGCATGGTTGTATCAGCATCAAAGCTGTGAATATTTTTTTGGGTTGAATTATTGATGCTAATCTAAAATTTGAAGAGCATATTAAATGTATGTAAATAGCTAGCGTCTGGCTGTTATGACGTTAACTGCAAACGAGTTTGCAAACAAATAGGGATATTTTTGGTATTCTTCAATTAAAAGTATCAACATATGCTCCGAAGACCAAACCATTAAAGAGCTGATGTTATCTCAATTTTAGATAACAGCAAAATTGACCAGTGGACATATATTATCTGAAATTTATATACCATCAATTACCTTTTCAAAATACCAACAAAGTGAAATTACCATAACCCCAAAGAATTTTTTCTCACTTCAAAACAGAACAAACAATTCGATGGTTAAATAATGGCGTTATGCGCAAGTGCTTCAACATAAAATGAATGAAAAATAGGACGTGGTCTATTTCATCCAACTTTGCATCCAGATTGTCTGTTTCTGTAATACATGGTACAGTAAATTCTGAATTCAAATTCTCATTCAGAAAATGGATGAAAAACTAGCCTGTGTCATACGGACTTAACGCTCTGTCAATGAGAATTAATTTCCTTCAGGCAATAAAGTACATTTTGACTTAAAAAAAAAAGTAACGTGTAAACTACACTCTCCTAGATGGCCAACGCACATGTTAACCCCTTGTTCCATTTTCGCCGACAGCGCCTCTTGTGTTTGGTGGCGCAACTATTTTGAATAGCGGGAATTTCAAATAATTGACATAAAGAGAAGCTTTCGTAAATAGTTGCAGAGATGACATATCATAAGCACTTTATGCTCTCATCTCTTCTCACAATTTACAGACACTGAAATGAAAACGGTCTGTATATGAGAGAAAGTTATCTAATGCATAATTTTTTAATTAGGTCATAATTGTAATTAACTTTACTTTATCCTCTCCAGAAACCTGAGATTGTCTCTCCTAAAATTTGGAAAACGATGTCAGGAGAGAAAATATCAATCTCACATCTCACATCACATCCTGGTACTGCACACTAGTCCAGTCTCATAAACTTCAATATTGTTGTTGATTGATTCCTTCAATCATGATTGAAAAATGAAGTAATGGTCCATAAATCGAGAATATAGCACTTTGAAACGAAAAAAAAAACACATTTCTAGACGGGAAAGAATCACAACATTAACAACAAACAATATATGAACGCCATTTGAAATCAATGCCTGCGCACTATCACAGATCACGGATCATTATGTGAAATGACCACCTATTGTTTGGAGGCTAAAATAGAAAATGGATCAAGTTCGGTCCATTGAAGTTGGAGGTCTATTCGCGGGAATCAATGTTTCCAGGTGGCACTCGGTTTTCATAGTTCCACGCCAAAGCCACGTCAAAACTGGGGGAAAACAAACTCAATCCTCACTCAATTTCATTAGTGCCATTAGCTTGTGTACTGTGTACTGATTAGAGTGATGTTTTCAAATTTCTTGACATCAATTGTCAATATTCGATCGAAAACGCTAAAAATGCCTGTTGTAGATGTTTTTTGGCAGATATTTTGCTCTATTCAGATGGAAAAAGCCGACCAGTAGTGGAAGAAGAAGCAGTTCTCCGTGCTTATCATGTGATTTTGTGTGAGGGTGAGGCAGAAGACTTCAACAAAAGGCACATTTTTGCACTTTTTCTACAAACTTCGGCGATGAAATATTCCCCACATGAAGTAAAATTGAAGTTGGGGTCCAGAGGAACTCCTGTAGAACAATGGATCTGTATTTGTTCCTGCAAAGCAGGACAATCTGGGTATTGTAAACATGTTGTAGCTGTTCATAATTAGTTTGAATTGTTTGAACTATCTCCAATTCTTCACCCGTTCACTGTTCACTAAACTAATAAAAATGTAATAATGTAAAAAAATTAACCAACTCTACCATCATCACTACCAACAGTGCCAACACTTTATGTCATTGACAAGTTTGACTACAGCTACAGCAACCTGAATGCAATGTAGTCTATGCACTTTAAACATAGACAACAGTTTGTTTTCCCTCAGTTTGAAGTTCATATTATGTAACCTAGATGTCGCCCACTTCGTGAATCTTGCGAATAAAGTGTAGTTTGTTTATGGTGCCCTCCACTCTTGCATACCAACCTGTCTCCCGGCGTTAACCGGCCGTCCTGCTCGGCCGCCCCGTGAGGCACGAGGCTGCGCACCACGATCACGCTGGCCGTGGAATCGAGCGGGTCCTGGTAGTCCAGGATGGAGAAGCCGAGGCCCCTGTCGCCTTTCACGAGGTCCACGTACTCGACCTCCTCCGACCACATGGCGACGTTGGTGACTTCGAGAGAGCGGGATTTGGCCTTCTGTAGGTTGGGTTCGTCTGTTGCTGAAAAGGGGGTTCCGTGAAAGCATGCGATCGAAGTATAGTTCAGCCAAAGAAGTCCTCGGACAAAATGGAGAGGATGAAGGTGTTCAGTTCTCGGAGCCTAGGGTAACTGAACAATTCGGTTTGACTCCGATTTCATTTAGAGAGATGGGCGATTTGACTGAATGCACTTTCAAATTGACAATTATTTGGTGATCACAACATTTATATTATATTGTGTTCTGGGCTAGCATTCTTTCTTGCGGTCATCTTTTACAAGCCAGATTATATTGGAAGTTTGGGTAATCTTATTGAGCATGTCCTACATGTTCCAATAGAATCAAGTAGCACTAATTCTTGAGTGAATTGTTTCGTTTCTAAAGTAATGGCCTTGATGAAAAAATAGCTGAAAGTTTAATAACTAGAGATAAAAAATATTTAAGCCGAAACATTGTCATCTACCATTCGATGAACATTGGTGGAAGTGCCTTTGAGTTTTGAACAATAAATTTTCTTTTATCTAATAATTAAAGTAGTTAAGAATTTTTTCTCTCATCTACACAGGCAAGAAAGTGAAGACATAAGTTCATTGTCTTCGTTTATGTGAAATACGAGGTGAAATATCCATTCATTTGGCGTGTTTTGTTGTATCAAAATGACTGAATTTGTTGTTGTGAACACTGAACTGATTGTTGAGAAGTATTGTGATTAATATTGATAAACAATGGTGATTTATTGTGCCACCTTTGGATGCAAGAACAAACAAGACAAAAGGAGATTAGCATTCCATGAGTAAGTTGAATATTGTTCTCAGATTTTTGAAAAATATAGTTCTTGAAATGATCATCAGTTAGGTATACAATGTTCCCAGTCTCAGAATATGTTCAAAAACTATACCTATATTATTTGTCAAAGTTGAATACTTCCATAAATTGATATTGAGTAATATTATTTGTTGCAGTTTTCCATTCAAAAGACATTCTCGAATTATGGATAAAGACAATTCGTAGAGAGAATTGGACTCCAACTAAAAGCAGCAAGCTTTGTGGGGAGCATTTCCTGCCAACAGATTATTTAGACATACCATCAGGTACTGCTAGGTTTTTGAAAGCAGATGCTGTACCCAGTATATTTTCATTTCCTCAGCATTTGTTACCAAAAAATGCTGATTCCCCCAGGAAAATGAGAAAACTCGTAGGTACCTAGTTGATTAATAATGAAAAAAAAGTATGTTTGCACCTCTTCAAAATAAAAAACTAGCTAGTAATTTATCCGTGGACTTTCATAACTTGGGTCTTGGGTCCAAAGGAAGAAGTTTCCCATGTTATTGGTTTTGACTTGCCTACCACTTCCAGCTCCCAAGTTTCGAAGAGACATTGTGCTTCGCTCACCCTGTACAATATATTGTGACATTTGAATAAAAATATATAATTTCAATTTTGTATTCATTTGACTTCCTGGTCCTTTAAGAGTAAAATTGAAATTTAATTTTAGTCAATAAAAAAATCAGTGATAATTTTTTAATGATAATTGATCACAACAGTATCCTTTTTCCCAAATGAATATTTTTATTTAATCACGTGTACTCTTAAATAGAAGCAAAAAACGAGGAAATATTTCAAATTATGCGAGCGCTGTCCATATCCAGCACAAGATAGAGAGAGATAGATAAATTTTAGAACACTTCATTCCAATTCGAGCTTGTTTTCTCTTTTGTAGTTAAAATGGGTCAATAAATGTTTCACCAGTGGATTTCTGTAAGCTGGGTTTCTCTGTTGCCCAGATGAGGGGTGAAAGGACAACAAACTAGGTGGCGCAACTATCCCATTGGCAAAACTGTCCTAAAGTCCCTCGTCCGTCATAATGTACAATCGTGAGTACCTAGAGAGGATAGGGAGAGGAGGTAGGTATTGGAATTATGTTGGGTTATCCATCGCAATGACCCTATATTTACGTAGTTTTATATCGTTATCATGTTGGTGACCTCTAGAGATCGGGGTTCGGCTTTTTGGAGGTTGGATCAAAGTATAGTTCGACCAGCCAAAGAAGTCCTCGGACAAAAGGGAGAGCATGAAGGCGTTCAGTCCTCGGAGCCGTATCTGAACAATTCGGTTATGCAGATGACGCCGATTTCGTTGAGAGAGATGGACGATTTGACTGACTGCACTTTTAAATTGAAAATTATTTGATGATCGCAACATTTATATTGTGTTCTGGGCTAGAATTCTTTCTTGCGGTCATCCTTTAGAAGCCAGATTATATTGGATGTTTGGGTAATCTTCTGATTCTTGAGTACATTGTTTCGTTTATAAAGAACTGACGAAAAAATAGCAACAGGAATGATCACATACTATGAAAAAACTCAACGTAAATTCACTCTGTAAAAATAACATGCCCTGATCCTGAAAGTTTAATAACAACTAAAGATCCACCATTTCATGACTTTTGAATCTATTTATTCAACGTTTCATTCCACTTTGAGCATATTTTCTCTTTCGTAGTTAAAATAGGTCAATAAATGTTCCACCAGTGGATTTCTTCAGGCTGGGTTTGTCTCAAATGAGGGTTTGGTGAAAGCAAAACAAACTGTAGCGGAACCATCTCAAATACAAAGACGTGCTGAACCATTATTGCCAACACTGCCCCAAACCTAGGGAGGATATGGGGCAGAGATAATGGCCCTATCTTTACGTTATTTTAAATAGTTATCATGTTGGTGACCTCTAGAGACCGGGATTTTGCCCTTTGGAGGCTGGGTTTGTCTGTTGCTGAAAAGAGGGTTCGGTAAAAGCACAAAGCATGCGATAGAGGTATAAGATGAATTGGAGTTTTTGTAGGCGGACAAAACCATTAGCATGTATACTTCTCAATCTGGCCCGTTATGCACCCACTGCTGCTGAGTTTTGGAGCATATTTCGAGAGTGGAGGTTCTTTTAGAAGAAGAACCTTTGATGTGAAGTTTAAATTGTTTCATGTCATGAGCATCTTTCCATGTGTTCCGGTATTTAGCTTCCAGGATTCCCTTAATGGTTGAGATGATCCATGATTTAGAAACTCCTAGGGTTGGTTGAGCTTTTTGCACCTCTTCTGGCCAAATAGTCGGTCCGTCCTTTTTCGGGCACACCGGTATGTCCGGGGACCAAAAGTAGCTTAACCTTGAAGGGGATGAATACCTTTTTCAGATCATCATTGCATTCAGACACCAGCAGCAAACTAACTCTGTGAAATGTGAGGGCCTTGATAGCCGCTTGGCTGACTGTGCATATCTTGATTTGCTGGTCGTGGTTGCCTCTGTTGAGATTTTCTCTCACAAAGGTGAGTATGGCAAAACCTTATGTCTGAAATAATCTGGCAAATTTCCTCAAGGCGTGACAGAATTGAATGTTTGGGAAATCTTCCAGACAATGTCCTATATGTTCCAACAGGAGCAAGTAGCATTCATTCTCCACCCGGAACTTTTTTCTATACTTTCATGTTGCTTTTTTTTCTGGATGAAGTATCTAGCCTTTATACACGTGAAACAGTTGCAGCAGCAATGACTCAATATCTCAAATTGTGAAGTCCCAAAAGGATATTTGCTTGGTCCAATTACTGTTCTCTTTTATATGAATGATTCAACTACTTTTCAGAATCAGAGTAAGTAACTTTGGAAGAAACAGTGCATCACAATCTTAAGCAGATCGAAATTTGGCGTTACTCTCTCCCCTGTTCAACGCCAAAGAACAAACTAATCAACTTGAATTTACTCACACAAATCTCACCCTAAAAAGTCATAACATTGAAAAAGTTCATTGAGTAGCACATTTTGATAATGAATCAAACATTAGCATCAGGCTGTTTGCTTTTTATCATTCTTTGATGGATCACATATTAGTTATGGTATTTTTATTTTGGGGTTAGAATGTGCTAGAAATATTTGATAGCTCCTATTCATCCAGCACAAGAGAGCAACGAATAATTCAGATAAATGTATACCAAATAACCGTCTACTGCAAAGCATTGAACTAATTGAATACAAGTTCAGAAACTATTGACAGAAGGGTTATTGCAGCTCTCATGAATTTTATAATGATTATTTATTCACATACATTTCAAAATCTGAATAAGAATTATTTGGTATTCTGCTGATGAAACTGCAACATAGCCAAAATCAAAAAATCTGAAAATTTACATTTCATATTACATTACCTGTAACAGTGCTAGATGTATTCAGACTAGTATCACTCAAAGCCTTGATCAGCTTTTGTTCTGGCTGTGGCAAGAGGTTTTTCAAGCTGCCTCCCAATATGTTGCGAGCCTCAAAAGCCTCTCTGTCCTGTGATGTATTAATCACTCTATTACATTGATTTTCACGGTAACAAACCAATCGAACGGTGCTGGGTAATTCTCTCAGGATTTTCACCACCTCGACATGTTTGATTCCCATCAACTTTTGCCCATTAACCTGGAAAATACCATGATATGCTTATAATTCAGCTCACAGCAACCTGAAATATATTTCACATAATACCCGATACCAGGATAATTTTATTGTTCATTGAATGGGGTAGAATTTACGCAAAAAAAACTATTTCTTATTGATCATTATTTGAAATTATTGCAAATACTTTTTTTTCAATAATGAAATTTGGCATCCTGGAAATAGCTAGCTTCGATGACGTCATGAAACAAATTGAAAGTCGGCCTTATTTCTGGATTTCACATAAAAAGTCAGAGTAAAAAGTAAGACCACATATTTCAACGCTGCCAGATTTGTAACTAGTAATTACCTTATGAGGTTCAATATGACCAATGACAACAGTATTCAGATTCACAGAAGATACTAGTTTAACCTGGTCCCTACTAATCACTAATTAAATAATTATATACTTGCAAGATGCATGAGTACCAATAAAAATATCCTAGTATTCCTAATAATGATTGAGATTGAGATTTTATTTAAACTACAGCATTATGCCTAGAGTTCCCAGAAATACAAGAAGGGAAGATGAACTACATTGTGAACCTAACTTCCTAACATCATCTTCATCTTCAAATCTTTGTTTCATCTAGCCAAGATGCAAATATTCAAAGATATTCCTCTCATTATCTGACTCTTCAGTTGTGTGTTTCATATATGCAGTAAGTATTCAGTCCAGATAATGCACTAAAGTCTAGGGCGAGCACCTTCTGAGGAGGCAAACTTTTTTTCATATTTTGATTGAAATGACAATCAGAAATATTCGTGCACTTGTCTTACAGACAAGAATAATAGATACGTTCAGAGGATTACATCACGCGTTTTCCCGTGTATTTCATATAACTATTTAAAAAATGTACAGAGCTCTGGGGAAAAAACGGTTTGCAACAGTGAACTAGTTAGAATTAGTACTTTGAAATAATGAAATTTTTCAATGAAACAGGCCCAAACTCAGATTTTGGATGGTCTTGAATTTTTAATAGAAATCACAATTTTGAAGTGTTCGAAGCTTGACATGAATCAAGTGTTTTTATCATTTGAACATTTTCAGCTAAAAATGTTTCACCTCTAATAGTTCATCTCCTGGGTTTAAGACTCCATTTTGTCCCACTGGTCCTTCAGGTAGGATTGAACGTATGTAGTGATGTGGCCTAAGTTCTATACCTCCTTCTACATCAACAGTACCTTCCAAACTAATTCCTAGACCTGAAAATTATTTTTATTTTCATTCTTAATTCAGTTAATTGAATGTTGAAAAATATGAAAGAAGGTCTATGGAAGATCAATACATTACAGAATTGTAGGATGAAGATACACAATCTCATAAGAAACTACAAAAAAATCATCTGTATACTCAATAAAGTTTACTATATCTGAGAACCTCAGAGTAAAAATGTCATACACATATATAAAAGTTGCATTAATTTCAATGAGGCATGAACCAATCCATGGCATATATTTGTAGGATTGTTCCAAGGAGGAAAAAATAAAGTTATCTGAGGACATGATGTGAATACAATTCTCTACCACAAAACTTGAAAACTATCCTGCCTGTTCGCAAATTCAAATGTGCATTATCCAAACCCCTCATAGATCTTTGTCCTTCCTCTATACAAGAATTTGAAGGAGCACTTGGTTAATATATATTAATTTTAATTTCAAAATTTCAACTTTACTTCAATATCTGTGTGTTTTATTCTTAAATTATTTGCCTATATATGTCATTGTCCATTTGATTTATTTGTCAATATCAATATTACTGTTAATTAGGATCTTAATATTATCATTATCACTATTATTTGTGTGATACTTATTTTGTGTGCTGCTTTGTTGACTTGTCCTATAACTCTTGTAAGTTCCAAAGGATTAATAATAAATTGATTGATTGATACAACCATATTTTGTTGTTTACATAATACCTACAGTGTCTCCTTCATTATAATGGTAAATAACTCAAAACAACCCATCTAGTTCTAGTGGAACCCAGGGAGTTTTTCAAGTACACAAGGTCCACTATAGGTTTGTATATATTACCTTTCAGTTTAGTCAAATGTACTACTACAATATCTGCCCCCTTTCCAACAATACCCTGCCACTTTTTCTTGATAGCTGTTTCTAGATCACCAGCTAGGTCAGCTTCAAAGTTTTCTTCAATGAATATCTCTTTAGTTTCAGGGTTCTGGTCATATATGGCACTATTGACACTCTGCAGAGAAGCTCTATCACCATCAATTGGTTGCTGAAATTTATCAAGATATCATATAAATACTGTAAAAGTGCTTATATATGTTTGTACCTCTGTATTATCTAGAGGAATCCAACTTAAAGTTGTCAAAGAAGGAGAAACTGGACTGATATCCAAGTTATGTTCCCTATCAGCAAGAGCTTCTTGCAGTTGCTCAAATTTAGGGCCACTCAGATATCTCTCAAATGTTATGGTAACTTCAGAACTGGTTTCTTTGAGTTTTTTCACAGCTTCATAGTTGGTACAATTTTCCAGGGATTGGCCATCCACTTCTACAATGCGATCATTGATCTTTATTTTACCACATTTGTAGGCTTCTGAATTTTCATTTAGACTTTTTACAAAAATGCCACACAAGGATTCTCTTTCACAAACATAGCCTGCTATAGTAATTCCTGAAATAAAGTGAGAAGGTTGAGATAACATGTTACTTTACACACAGTAACTTACCCAATCCTAATTCATCCTTTCTTAGATCAACAGTAAACTTCTCTGTTTCTGATTCCACACAATTATGATCAATATCAATTTGTGCCAGGATTATCTGTGTAGGCTCATTTGTAGACAACCCATTTGGTGTAATGTTTTCTTTATTCTCATCAACAGTCAATGCATTTTCACAATTAAGATCATTGATGCAATTTTCTACTTGGTTTTGGATCAAATCATTTTTAAAAACTTCTAGAGCTTCTGCATATTGATAAAAAGAAGAGTGATAGCCATTCTGCAGTTGTCTATCTAACTCTTCGGGATCAGTGAGTATCTTTGTTGGTACAATTGGTGCTGAGCAGTTATATACACTGAAGTCAGCTGAACTAGGATCTATAGATCTTGCTACTACCATTCTCACCTAAAATCAAAGCAGCCAATTGGAGATCTAATGAATAGCTGGAATAATTTATCACATATAATTTCACTTCATTACAGAACTAATGAATGAAATGAAGATCTGTTTATAGTTAAGGAGAGTAACAAGAACAAGACTTCATCAGAATGAAAGAAAAACTAAAACAGACAAGCATATTTTTTAAAGGAACTAAAAGTTTACTAAACACATAGGTGCAACAAACTGTGTTCTTACATATTGACATATTGGTGAAGTTTATAAAAATGGTAACCACCTGCTGTCCAGTCTGTCTAAGTACAGTAGCCACCTGCTCTGCAGTTAATCCTCTTAGATTTACTTCTCCAATTTGCAGGATATGATCTCCGCTTTGCAAGCGGTTGTCTTTGTCAGCAATGCCACCAGGAAGAATGGATTTTATCACGACCCCAGTGCTGCGGCCCCCGACAATTCCGAAGCCGAGACCAGAACCATCATTCAGAAGATCAATCACTTCAACTTGAGACCATTCGGTGCTGAGTACCATGGTTTTGAGTACTGTTCATTTCTCCAATGCTTAGATCGTTCCTGGTCCCAAAGATTGATGTCTTTGTGGTCGATATTTTGTTGAATTCAATCCTTGTGGGATGTGTTTGTGTTCCTGGATATTACATTTCTAGGTTACTGTTCATCTCTGGTCTTTCTGGGGCTTCATTTTATATTTAATTTCTTCGCTTTTACACCAAAGATCCAATATCACATCCTTTCATTCTCATAATCAAGCGATTGAGACCATATTCATTGAGACCAAATGGGCAAATGAACGAAAAATATATTTTTGATATAAATTTTTTTCACATATATATATTATCACATCAATGTCATCAATGAAACTGACAGTACTGACACGTGCTCAGCTGACACCTTCTTAGAGGCCTGTTCGTTTGTGCTTGCTCTACCTGCTGAACATGATTTTTTTCTTTGACTTTCTCTGTTTACATCATGCCATGAACAGAGACAACTATGGGAAAAAAATCAACTTTAGGAAGTTTAGCAATACAAACGAACAGGCCTTAGATACCACCTCAGATGACAGTAGACAGAGAAAAAACAGTGCAGAAGTAGGTCAAATGCTGATAAAGTCAAAGTTCACTAAAAGGGAGAAGAAGAAAACTGACTGAACATCAATGGCTCAGGGCCCATTGGGCAATGGCGCACTACTTTGAAATTTGAAATTAGGGTTTTGTCATGGTTTTGTGATACAGTATGTCGGAAAAATTTGGCAACAAACGGAACGGAAAAAATATTTCTTGACAAACGACTGAATTGATATCTGATATTTGCATTCTCGGGTTTCAGACTTTGCAGAATGAAGAATGACTTTTTTTCGTAAAATTAAACATGATTTTATCGTATTTTTCATTGTTATATGTAGTCAACAACAATAAAAAACAATGGTACTTTCATGAGTAGAATTTATAGTTTCTACCTCAGTTTCCACCTTCATTATTGTATACGACAGACTCGACAGAGAAATATAGGTTTATATAGGTATGTGCTATTGTTTGGTTTTAGGCCTTGCAGAACATTGGATAAAGAAAGATGTATTCAATTTCCGCAAATCAATATCAAAAATGTTTTCCATTTGTTTGCCAACATTTTCAGACATACACCTGTATACCGGGTGGCCCACTCAAGATGATCCACTCTGGATAGTTCTTTGAACAAATTCTCGAATAAAAAAATGCTGAAGCAAGTCAAATTTCATTTGAAGGGGGACGTTTTTTAAAATTAATTCGTCATCTGTCTCTTCTTCCCCCTCCTGCCCTACATACGCACCCTTTCGTTTCGATGATAATTTCAAATGATGACATATATCGGTCGACTGATACCCCATTCGATCGAAATGTATTTTCATCCCGATAATTACTGTTTTGTTTTCGCATCCTGCTTATAATTCCCATATTCCATTTCAAATTCTTGGAAGGGTCGCGAATCTCTATAGGGGAGGGGGAAGATTTATTATTCGAGGATTTCTCCAAGTGTTATCCAGAGTGGATTGTCTTAAGTGGGCCACCCGGTATATTTTCATCTCATTTCTCTAATGGTTCTCACTTCTGAATATAAATTTAATCATTTCCACCAATTTGATCGACATCAATCGTTATGGGAACTTATTAACGTTCAGCATAATCCATTTTTTCGAGAATGTTTCAAACAAATAATGTAAAAATGCGCCTATTACAAAAATGGAAAATTATGAATAAAATATCATATTATACCTCTTTGCCAAATTTGGTATGGCAAAAAGTTTTTTTTTTTGTTGAACTTCGGTCATGGTATGGATGTTTCTACCACATTTTACTGATAAATAAATATTTTGTCCAATTCTCGAATTTTATTTCAAATAATATGTGGTTTACGGTACACCCTGTATATTCTGGATGAGTATAGTTACCTATTGAACTAGTTTGAGAACTCATATAGATGGAATTATATTTTGATTTATTCATGGATTATCAGTAGTTTGTCAATAAATATCAAATATCTTAACACTATTTCCAAAAGAAATAAACACATTATTAATTTGTTGTTTTTGATAAAAACTCATTACCATGTAATCGAGTTACACTTCAACAAGTGATAATAAAACAATAATTCAGTCCATATCATACATTTTTGATAATAAATGGCCTTCAATGTGATTCTAATTGTTATGAACCATCTAATTTATGAAAGGGAATCAATTTAATATACTTCCAACATTGCTTAAAGTAATATATTTAAAAAAATAATGAGAACATTGAACAATTTCGTGGGTGGTACACAATCATTACTGTTTAACAATTACTACAAGCAGGGTCCCGGTGCTGCTACAAAAAAAATTCATCCAACCAAAGAAAATCGAACACAAAATAAAACCTCTAATGAAAATGGCATGTATGTATATTTATATAATTATATGTATATATAGAGTGCATTTTACAATTCTCAATACATACAATGTGTTCATCTATTCAACAAAATTTTGTATCGAAAATATCCAATATAAATAGAAATTTCGGTAGGGTTAAAAATTCAATAAATTAATATTAAAATGAATTTGACGTAGAAAAAACAAAATCACAAAATGTTCATGTTATTGTAGCTCGAAAATAACCGATCCAGTATAAAAAGTGATTTACCAGGGGTGTACCAGACAGGTGGCCCTGATATAGCTTTTCAAATTTGAACGGGACAACCTGTATATAATGTTCATATTCAGTATAATAATATAATGCATCAAGAAGTGTATAACAAACGAGTAAGATAGTAATTCTTCATATGCCCAATGAGTGGGACAGGAAAGTAGCATCGATCGACATCCTCTCTGTCGCACTCATTAGATACATGGAAGAGTTATTCGTCAATTTTTTCCGATTCTTTGAATCTCCATCATTGATAATGATAATTCTTTCAATAACAGCAAATAAAGCAAATTAAAAAAAGTCAAGCGGTGGTCAGAACATTCAATTTTACTCTTATTTATTGAAATGAAACATCAAGGGCAACAAAAGCACATCTCTGGTACACCCGGTATAAAATTGGTGTTGAGGATATGCAACTTTCTTTGAGTTTCGTCTCGTTCTTGTTATTCAAGTATACAGAGTGATCCATTTGAAAGCGAGCCACCCTCATAATAATTGTTTTCCTCATTTATGGAGCAATTTTCACGATTTTTTTTATGTAGAGGTGTATTTTGAGGCTACTAGATCATATTCAGATGCTGAAAAATCAAGAATTCATTCAAGCGATTTTTTTTAAATCCGCGTACCCCACTGGAATCGAGGTCCTCTGAAATAGATCTGTACCAAGTTTCTGAGAAAAATATTCAACATTAACGAATCTACAGCGTGTTTCTTTTCAAACGCCCCCCCCCTCGATTTCTCAGCTATTAGTCGTTCAATCTATACCAAATTGGAACCGGTATGTATAGCCATCAATATGATCGGTTTTTCAAAGACGAACATCCTGTTGGACAGTGCCGTGCATTTTTATTGAAATAGGAAGGGATTTTTTTTTTGCAAGAAAACTTATACTTCATATTATTGTATCTCACGCTTTCTAAAAATCACTTTATTCCCTATTAACAGAATTGGATTCATTCTTTTTCATCTTTATCCACGAAAAAATTGTGGATTCAAATAAACTGCAAATTTTGGAACGTTAGCTACGGTAGGTAGCAATCGTGATTTTGAAAAAAAAAAACAAAAAATACTATTTTGTGTCATTTTTTTCAACCCCTTCATAATAATCATATGAAAATGTACACATGGAGATTTGGAACCATGAAGAACAATTTTACGAGGTCTGTCTTCCAATAAAAAAATCCTAAATTTCATAAAAAAATTGTCCCCTCTTCATTTCAAGATAATATTATAGAGGGGCGTTTCAAAAGAAACACACTGTAGATTCGTTAATGTTGAATATTTTTTCATGAAATTTGGTCTAGACTTATTTTAGAGTACGCCAATTCCAATGGTGAACGCGAATTTTTTTTACAAAATTCGCTAATATGGATTCTGGATTTTTCAGCCTCTGAATGATCTAGAATACACTCTTTCCTCTCTGCATTTAAAAAAAGTGAAAAACGCTTCATCAAAAAAAAAAAAGTATAAGAGTGGCTCGCTTGAATCACTCTGTATTTGACACCATTAAGATCTCGGAGATACGAATATGGTTGAATTGAGGCAAAAATGTGCATTTATGTGACTCAAAATATGCCGTCAATAAAACTCTCAAATTCCCAAAATTTCCAGGAATACACGAAGAAAAAAACCCAGAAATGTTGGTAAACAACATTTAGCGGATTTCAAAGTCATTATATGACGTGGCGATGACGTTAAAACTGAGAGAAAACATTGGCTCCTGGCATAGATTAAGAACTAGACATGTTTTCACCCAGTTTTAACGTCATCGCAACGTCAGATGATGACCTTGAAAACCTCGGAAATCCAATATGGCGACCATATGCCATATGTAAAAATAAAGTTGATGTTGGTAACGTAAAGAAGAAACGTCGGACAGTGAGTCTGAGTCTCGTATAGGCAATGTAAATGTGCTATCAATTTTGATATACAACAAATATCACTAGATTTCTGTTATTTTCGTATATCTCCGGAAATACTCGGAATTTAAGAATTTTCTCGACTGCATATTTTTAGTCACATAAATGCGCAACTTCGTTCTAACTTGACCATCTTCGTATCTCCTATAGTTTCCGAGATTAATGGTGGCCTCAGAATTTGAATTACTCGGTATACAATTATAATTGTTATATTGTTCTTTATCATCAGCGAACAATATGTTTGATTGTTCGGGAAAAGGTTAATAAAAAAATCTGAAACGGGTTCTCTTACACTCTCAAAACCCCTTAGTATTTCTGATATTCCCAATGTAACAAGTGGAACTGAGTGTTGGATATCAAAAATCACCATTTAGAATAGATTCAGAAGGAAATAGGTTATGGACGAGCTACAAACAGGACAAGTGAAAAATATCCAGACCAGTTCAATACCAAAAAAAATATAGTGAGATTCAATAATTATTGTTGATTATTTTGTCGAGATCAACTGTTGAGTAGGATTCAGCCAAATCACTGGTCTATGTATGTATATACAATATTTATTTTGAAAAGTTACGATAAACCATTGCTAGCGGAGATTTTGTCATGGGTTAATATTTATCACTATGGCTTGCAAGTAAACTTATTACATCTGATTATATTATTTAAAACTACTTCTCTAGACACAAATCATTCACTGGCGTTTTTAGCGAAAGAAACAAATATACACAATCATTTATTTGTTCCGTAGATACATTTGAATTG